GCACGCCCCACACTGGGGATCGAGCCTGCAACCCCTGGGACCGTTAACCCTAACCGGAATCAAACCCGGGACCCTTCAGTCCACAGGCCGACGCTCTACCCACTGAGCCAAACAGGCTAGGGCAGCCGTGGGCAAACTACTGCCCGCGGGCCGGATCCGGCCCGTTTGAAATGAATAAAACTAAAAAAAAAAAAAAAAAAAAAAAAAAAAAAAAAAAGACCGTACCCTTTTATGTAATGATGTTTACTTTGAATTTATATTAGTTCACACAAACACTCCATCCATGCTTTTGTTCCGGCCCTCCGGTCCAGTTTAAGAACCCATTGTGGCCCTCGAGTCAAAAAGTTTGCCCACCTCTGGGCTAGGGCGAGGTTGGCTGTTCGGGGAGCCAGGGCCGATTGGGTCCGGTCTGGAGGTTTGCAGGCTCCATGGCTGGGAACGGTGAGGGGAACAGACGGCTCCTGCTATGGCGGAGGTCGAGGCACGCGTGGGCCAGGACGGCTTTGCCCAGGCCTGGCCGCCCCTTCCCAGGGAGGCTGCAAAGGAAGGTTTCGGGTTGTACTGCTGACCTGCAGGGAAGCCAGGCAGATAAGGGATTCGATTGGGTGGTGGTTTCACGGGAAACGGGGGGCTAGGGAGGGTCCTTGGTCAGTGGTGGCTTCATGCCCGAGCCCTGGCTGGGCTTCTGGCAGTTGTTGGGGGATGGATGGTCCGAGTCCTTGGCTGACCTGGGCCAGGGGCAGAGGTGGCCAGTCCTCATTGGCCCCCCTGCGGCCGCCCTGTGGGTCAGTGACAGGGAGGGGTGAGTGGCTGGGAGCGTTCCGCCCGGGGAGGGCCTGGAAGCAGGTGCGCTGGCATACGGGGTGGTGAACCGTTGGAAGTGGGTGTGGCCAGCCCTCGGGGTCACTGTCCACTTTCCCTGTGTGACACTCCCTGCACCTTCCCACTGTCATGGCTTCCCACTGGACTGTTCCCTCCGCCTGGATAGCCCTTCTCCCTCCTCCCAGGCCTTTGATGCCCTTCAAGACCAGCTGAAATGCCATTTTTTAAAAATATTTTTTTATTGATTTCAGAGAGGAAGGGAGAGAGAGATAGAAACATCAATGTTGAGAGACAATCACTGATCGGTTGCCTCCTGCACACACACACACACACACACACACACACACACACACAACCCCGCCACCCCCCATGGGGAATCAAGCCCAAAAACCGGGCATGTACCCTGACCAGGACTCGAACCTCGACCTCCTGGTTCATAGGTCAGCACTCAACCACTGAGCCACACCGGCCGGGCTCAAATGCCATTTTAAAAAAAATATGAAGTCATGTGAGACCACCCTGTTCCTGGCCCCGGTCAGAATCAAACTCTTCCTTCACTCTGCTCTGCCAAGAACATTGCTCTCCCTTCCAACTGAGTAGGGTTTTGCGGGGGTGGGGTGGGTGGTGGGTGTGGAAAACCATGAAAGAGTGTGTGCTCTGGCCTCCGACAGACCCGGCTTTGCGCCCAGCTCTGCTGTTTAACCTCGGGCATGTTACTTAACCTCTCTGAGCTCCTAGTCCCTCATCTGTAAAATGGGGACAGTAATGCCTCTAGGGACTCTGAGTGAGGCAGGAATAAGTGCCAAGTTCAGCGCTGGGCACTGGTAAATGATTGCGGCATGTCCCACAGTGTCTACTATCTCAGTTAGCTAAGATGATGCCCACCGGCCCACCACAGGGAGTGGGGCGGGCACGCAGCCAGGCAGGGGCAGTGTCTTACTCCCTTCCCACCCCCTCCTGCTACCCAGCTCCCATTTGCATGACAGACAGAGTGCCCCTCGCAGCCCCAATGCTCAGCCAGCGTCTGCAGAGTTGACTTGTGGTGAATGGTGAAGGGCGGGGGGTGGGGGGCAGCAAAGCCCCAGTGGAGAGTCCTGGGCAGAGGCAGCTGGTGGGACCTGTCACTCACCCCGCCGCCTCTCTCTACAGTTCCGGGAGAATGTCCAGGATGTGCTGCCCACCCTGCCGAACCCAGACGACCATTTCCTGCTGTGCTGGCTCCGAGGTGAGGGGAGAGGGGCTGCGGGAGGCTGGGGTAGGGGCAGGGCTCGTTCTGGGTCACAGAATAGCACCCTCTGGAAACCCTGGGCCTGGCCATCTGAGAACCTGGAGTAGTCAACCCCGAGGGGCACAAGGGCCCCTGGCGATTACGTAACCTCACCCTCCTACTGCATAGATAACACTGAGGCTGAGAGGTGAAGTAACTCGCCCCAAACCACACCGTGCTTGAGCTGCAGGCAAAGAGTGGGGACGAGAGAGAGCCGAGAGAGAGCCCGGGTTGGCTGAGTCCCAGCCCAGTGCACTCCCCATCCACTCTGCTGATGGGCTTGGGGAAACAGACAGAGGAAAACGCTGAGAAAGGCCCCAGGCATGTGGGACGACGGAGGCAGAGGCAGGTTTAGAACCAGGGTCCCAGCTTCTGGGAGAGGCTGGGCCCCTCTGTGGCCTCCTGCAGTGCAGGCAGCTTGAAGGTGGGGAACATGGGGGGCTCGGCCGGAACTAGGTGGACAAGACCCTCCTCAAGCCGCCGCCAGGCTCCAGAGTCCCGAGTTCCAATTCTACTCCTGCTCGGCCTGGCTGTGGCACCTGGGCCAGGGGTGGGCATCTGCCCTCGCCCCCTCTCTGGGACAGCAGGACGAGACAGGGCGACCTGCCTGTTGTAAGATGTCACGTGGCAGAGCTCTGAGCATGGGATCCACGTTTCTATTCGCATCGGGGTCAAACTCAACCCCTACCCTAATGCCTGGGATCCTCTGTCCTTGACCCTCTCTCTCCTCTTCTGTGATTCCAGTCACGTGGCTCCCTCTCTGGTTCTTGTAACATTTTCCCCCCCTTTTTAAAAAATATATTTTTATTGATTTCAGAGAGGAAAGGAAAGGGAGAGAGAGATAGAAACATCACGGATGAGAGAGAATCATGGATCGGCTGCCTCCTGTTCGCCCGAAACCTGGGCATGTGCCCTGACCGGGAATCGAACCGGGACCTCCTGGTTCATAGGTCAATGCTCAATCACTGAGCCACACCGGCTTGGCACGCTTTTTTTTCCCTTCTTTGTAGAAACTTTATTACTAGACATAAAAATAATAGAGAATAAATTCCACTTTCTTAGATTAGCAGAGATTAAGTTGTGATGTGGAACCATAGTTCAAAAATTAAAGTACAAATCATCCCTGATTATTTATCTATAGATACATGACAATCAGAGTGCCCCACGCACCCCAAATGCTCAGCCAGTGTCTGCAGAGTTCACACCCGCACACACACACACATGCACACACACACACACATGCACAGAGTCTCGGGGCAGGTGAAGAGCTGGGTTTCCCAGCAGACCCAGCCAGAGGGCTGGAGGGTATTTTGGCCCAGCAGTTTACTGAAGGGCTGTAGCTACAAGTGGGTGGGTGGAGAGAGTGAGAAGCAAGATCATCAAACCCACTACCCAACTGCTGTTAGGTGAGAAGTGTGGTTTCAGAGAGCTGTGAACAGCAAGGCAGCTCTCTCTTTCTCTCTCTTTCTCTCTAAAATATATTTTTATTTATTTCAGAGAGAGGATGGGAGAGAGAGATAGAAACATCAATGATGAGAGAGAATCATTGATTGGCTGCCTCCTGTTTGCCTGAAACCTGGGCATGTGCCCTGACCAGGAATCGAACCGGGACCTCCTGGTTCATAGGTCAATGCTCAATCACTGAGCCACACCGACTTGGCATGCTTTTTTTCCCCTTCTTTATAGAAACTTTATTACTAGACATAAAAATAATAAAGAATAAATTCCGTTTTCTTAGATTAGCAGAGATTAAGTTGTGATGTGGACCCATAGTTCAAAAATTAAAGTACAAATCATCCCTGATTGTTTATCTATAGATACATGACAATCAGAGTGCCCTATGCACTGCCTCCTGCATGCCCCCCACTGGGGATCAAGCCTGCAACCCAGGCATGTGCCCTTGACTGGAATCGAACCTGGGGCCCTTCAGTCCACAGTCTGATGCTCTATCCACTGAGCCACACCAGCTAGGGCTCTCTCTTTGATCTAAGACAGTGGTTCTCAACCTCGGCTGCACATTAGAATCACCTGGGAATCTTTTTGGAATGAGGCCCAGAAATCAGGATTTTTAAAAAGACTCCCAGACGATTCTAATGTGCAGCCAAGATTGAGAACCACTGATCTAAGGGGAGGTCAGCCCGGGTTCCTGCCGCGGGTCTCCCAGGCACCCCCAGCTCCCTAGGCCTGGGGTCACCTCTCTCTTCGCAGGATCATTGCAGAGTGTGGCCTCCCTCATGTGCCAGATGAGAACACTGAGGCTCAGAGAGGGCAGGGCACTTACCTGAAGGCACACAGCTAACATGAAGCAGAATCAGGCAGAAACCAGTGTCCTCCCCGGGAAGCCACGGCTGCCCCGAACGCCAAGCCGCGCCTCTGCGGACGGAGGAGCAGGAGCTCAGGCTGGTCAGACTCTGCTATGAATCTCAATTAGGGTTTTTGTTGCCTCCCTCTTTTTTATTTTTTTAGAAACCTTTCCTTTTTCCCCTTGGTTCTAAAGGAAGCATCTGTAAGGTGCATGCCCTCGAATGGCTTCTTCTAACCCAGGTGTGAGCTGGGGCTCCATTCTCCCCGCTCCCCGCTAGGCAGACTCAGGGTTCTCCTGAGAGCGGACCCACAGGTCTCCACGGCCTCTCCCCGCGGGCGGGCGGCTGGGCTCGGGCACTCCAGCTAGGAGAGTCAGGTGACAAGATAAACACAAGGAAGTGGTGGAACCCTCGGAAGTGGCAGAGCAGGTCTGAGTCACCTCCTTTTCCAGGCCTAGGAGGTGATCACATGAGAGACTGCGATGGTCGCTCCTAGGTGGGCTTCTCGGGCCGTGCCCTGAGCCACGCTTTTTAAATTTCCTCCTTTATTTTAATTACCCTTTAGAAATTTGTTTATTTTATTTTTTGGTTAATCCTCACCCGAGGATACTTTTCCATTGATTTTTTTTGGAGTGAGTGGGAGGGAGAGGGAGAGACACAGAGAGAGAAACATCGATGTGAGAGAGACGCATCCATTGGTTGCCCTGCGTCCGAGGTACATGCCCTTGACTGGATTCGAACCCGGGACCCTGCAGTCCTCAGGCCGACGCTCTATCCACTGAGCCACACAGGCCAGGGCCCAAGCCATGCTTCGAGCTGCCCCTGACCAGGACAGCAGGAGCCCCGGAGGGGCCTGACTCAGCAGGTGTAGGGAGAGACCAGGCCAGGTGCTGTGGGAGGCAAGTGGCGGCTGAGGGAGGGCCCTTGAAGCCCCTGGATGTTGGACCCTGGCAGATAAGGGTTAACTGGAGAGCCACCCTGAGATAAGGGGGCTCACAGTCCACCGCCACTCCTGTTCGCTGGGGAGATAAGGTCTCTTCTCACAGTTAGGGGTGTCCCTCCTCCGGAGGATCCCCACTTTCACGTGCTCCCCATCATGAGAGCAGGCTGCCTTGCACCTTCCACGTGTTTCTAGCTCATTAGATGATTCTGTCAGAGAAGTGCGTTATCTTGTTCAAGGTCAGGCAGGGATGGGGAGTGGCTGAGATGCAAACCTAGATTCTGTTCCTCTAAGAGCTGCCCCTGCTGCCACGCTGGCACATGATGGACCGTCCACCGTGAGGACTGGTCAGTTCTGCACACGTGTGTCCACCAGCGATGAAAGGTGGGGCGCTGGTCAGGCCTCTCGGGGCAGCCTTTGGACGCATCCTGAGTGCCCTGAATTTCACGCTAACAGGGAATATGCTTGGGCACCTCTGGGAGCAGCGCTTAAAGGACCACAGAGCAACCCGGCCGGTGTGGCTCAGTGGTTGAGCGTCGACCTATGAACCAGGAGGTCACGGTTAGATTTCCGGTCAGGGCACATGCCCCGGTTGTGGGCTCGATCCCCAGTGTGGGGCGTGCAGGAGGCAGCCTGTCAATGATTCTCTTTCATCATTGAAGTTTCTATCTCTCTCTCCCTCTCTCTTACTCTCTGAAACCAATAAAAAAAAATATTTTTAAAGAAAAGGACCAGCCCTGGTCAGTTTTGCTCAGTGGATAGAGCATCGGCCTGCATATTGAAGGGTCCTGGGTTCGATTCTGGTCAAGGGCACAAGCCGGGGTTGCAGGCTTGATCCCCAGTGGGGGGGGGGGGTGCAGGAGGCAGCCAATCAATGATTCTCTCTCATCATTGATGTTTCTCTCTCCCTCTCTCTTCCTCTCTGAAATCAATAAAAATATATATTTTATTAAAAAGGCCAGAGGACAGCCTCTCTGGTCCAGGCTCCGGGGCCGATCTTGGCGTTGGTCAGACCCACAGAGGACACACAGCTGGGAGGGACCGTTCATAGGTCAGATGACAGAATTGGCCAGAATCTGTATCTCACAGACCCTTTAAACCAGGGGTCCTCAAACTACGGCCTGCGGGCCACATGCAAATATAAATATTGTTTTTGTTCCCGTTTTGTTTTTTTACTTCAAAATAAGATATGTGCAGTGTGCATAGGAATTTGTTCATAGTTTTTTTTTAAACTATAGTCCGGCCCTCCAACGGTCTGAGGGACAGTTAACTGGCCCCCTGTTTAAAAAATTTGAGGACCCCTGCTATAAACTAAGGATGAAATTAAGCTGACGGCAACAAGATGAAATCGGATCGGGGTGGAGCCACATCGGGGTGAAGGCTTAGCGGCAGGCCGGCTGAGAAGGACTTGGGGGTTCCGCTGACTCTGAGTCCCCCCTGAGTGAAGGGGGTGACCATTGCCAGGAAGGTCCGTGGGCTTTCCTGGAGAAGGGCAGGCAGCACCTGGCGCCGTGCTCAGCTCTGGGCCACATGATGGAAGAGGGGCTCTGGGAGACTGGAAAGCATCCAAGAGGAAGTTATGTGGGTGCACTTGAACCTGAGCTGTGAGGAATGGCGGAAAGACCCACGGAGGGGCAGCGCTGGGCAGAGGAGGGGACTGGGGGGGGGTGGCACAGTGGTTGCCAGTGTTGGGAAGGTTGTCACGTGGCTGACGGCCACTCCCTAAGCATCGCTGAGTGGATCTGCACTCGGTATCACGAGGAGCCCTGAGTGCAAATGGCAACTCAGACTGTCTAGGAGCCGGTGGCTGTGGGAGCCGGTGAGGTCTTTGTGTTGGAGCTTTAGCGGGACAACTTTTGGGGGTTCATGCATGAGATAAAGTTGGCCTCGGTGAGCTTTAGTGTGAAATGTTCCAGGAATCCTGGCAGGAGGGTCCCCTGGGTCCCACTGAGGGATACGTCTGTCCTTGCAAGACATGGCCAGGTTGACTGGGACTTCACCAACCCCTCCATCCTACTGGGATGTTCTGCCAGCTCTAGCCCAGATGATGGGCAGCTATGTTCATCTTTTAAAATATATATATTGGTTTCAGAGAGGAAGACGAGGGAGAGAGAGATGAGACATCCATGATGAGAGAGAACCATGGATCCGCTGCCTCCTGCACGCCCCGCACTGGGGATCGAGCCCGCAACCTGGGCATGGGCCCTGACCAGCGATCGAACCGTGACCTCCTGGTTCATAGGTCAACGCTCAACCACTGAGCCACGCCGGCCGGCCAGTTCACCTTTGAACTGTGTATCAGGTTCTCAGGTTTGGGTGTTAGACTGTGGGAGAGATTAGCTTTGTGTCAGGGGAAGGCTAGGTGATAAGGGAGTCCAGGGTCCACTTTCCCCGGGCGGAGATAAGACCCTTCGCCTGACTGCACCCACTGGGGCCAAACTCTTTCGGCCCTGAAGTTGCAATGCTGCTCCCACGTGCCCGAACCTTGACCTGCTCTCCAGTGTCCGTGGTTCTCTAGACCCGTGGTCGGCAAACTCATTAGTCAGCAGAGCCAAATATCCACAGTACAACGATTGAAATTTCCTTTGAGAGCCACATTTTTTAAACTTAAACTATATAGGTAGGTACATGGTTATTAACTTCATTAGGGTACTCCTAAGGCTTAGGAAGAGCCACACTCAAGGGACCAAAAAGCCGCATGTGGCTCGCGAGCCGCAGTTTGCCGACCACAGCTCTAGACGCCTCCAGTGAAGGTCCTCACATTAGCTTCTACCTGGGGGGTGATCTGAGAGCCAGCTGGGGTGTGGACGGAGAGGAGCCGGCCCTAGAATGGGAACAGGGAAGATCTCTGTGTCCCTGGACGCCCGGTCTGCTGGCCTAACCCTGACCACGTTTCCCTGTTACAGCAAGAAACTTCGACCTGCAGAAGTCCGAGGCCATGCTACGGAAGGTGAGGTCCATTTTGCCTCCGGATCCCGGGGCAGCCTCCGTTTCTACCCCTCAGAGGACCCCCGTCTTCCGCCCCTCCCGCCCACCTCCATCATGGCCTGTGGCCTGGTGTGACATCTCTGCATGTTAGCCAACCACGACCGACCGCCTGATCCCTCTGGAAATCCATCCCCTCCCCTGGGGCACAGAGCCTGCTGGGGTCTGGGCCGGCCGAGGAGGCGTGTTCTGCCGAGACCTCTAAAAGAGGCAGGGCCTTGCCGAGACTGGTTTGGCTCAGTGGATAGAGCGTCGGCCTGCGGACTGAAGGGTCCCAGGTTCGATTCCGGTCAGGGGCATGTGCCTGGGTTGCGGGCACATCCCCAGTGGGAGGTGTGCAGGAGGCAGCTGATCGATGTTTCTCTCCCATTGATGTTTCTGGCTATCTATCTCTCTCCCTTCCTCTCTGTGAAAAATCAATAAAATATATTTAAAAATAAAAATAAATAAAATAAAAGAGGGCCTTGCTTCACATTCCTGCCAGTCGCTTTCTCATGACACACCCCTTCATGCCATCACCTAAGCCTAGATGTCTGTTAAGAGGTCCCCCTACCCTGATTTCCCTTTTTTTTAAAAAAAAAGAAATATTTTTATTGATTTCAGAGAGGAAGGGAGAGGGAGAGAGAGATCAATGATGAAAGAGAACCATTGATCGGCTGCCTCCTGCATGTCCCATACTGGGGATCGAGCCTGCAACCCGCAACCCGGGCATGTGCCCTGACCGGGAATCGAACTGGTGACCTCCCGGTGCCGGGGTCGACGCACCACCCGCTGAGCCACGCCGGGCTGGGCTCCCTTTTCTAAAGCCCTGATTGTGTGTTTGCAGCACGTGGAGTTCCGAAAGCAGAAGGACGTCGACAACGTCCTAAACTGGCAGCCGCCAGAGGTGAGGACAGAGGGGTCCTGGCCCACCCCCCCGGGTGAGGTCATGAGGCCCACAGCCTGTGTGCTGGGTCTCTGGGCCTGGAACCCCAGAAGAAAGCTCTGACCATGCCAAGGGGGCCCTCGTGGTCTCCCGGACGGCTGCCCATTGGCCCCCGGGGGACGGCTGTGGAGGGAGAGCCTGGGGAACCCAGAGGGAGGCCCTGGGATACGGGGAAGGTGCCTGACCCGCCTGCTGACCAGGCGCCTTCTCCGTGTCTTGGCCCAGGTGGTCCGGCTGTACCTGACGGGGGGCATGTGTGGCTACGACAAGGAGGGCTCTCCCATCTGGTACGACATCGTTGGGCCCCTGGATGCCAAGGGTCTGCTCCTCTCGGCCACCAAACAGGACCTGCTGAAGACCAAGATGCGGGACTGCGAGCTGCTGACGCAGGAGTGTCACCGCCAGACGGAAAAGGCGAGTGACGGGCCGATGGCGGGAGAGGCGGTCCCGCGGCAGCAGGGACGTCCCAGGGGGGACTTACCCACGGCTTCGGGGCTGAGGCCTGGGCCTCGGATGGCACAGGACGGTGACATTTCAAACTCTTAGGGTCTGACATAGGTTGCCAAATTTTTATTTTTCCCGGGAAGGACTTAAAAAAAATTTTTTTTTTGCCAGCTACCATAACCATCATTAACCCCCAAAACCATAGGAACGGCCAAATCTCCGAATAAAGGGCAGCCCTTTAAACAGGATAGATTTAGCTTTCCAAAGAACTTAACGACATTCCTGGTATTCTTCTCGTGTATCTGGGCCCCGGTGAGATCTCTGTCCTCAGACAAGCGTTTGGGTGTCGCGGGTGTGGATGAGCGAAGGGAGAGTCCGTGTTGCCCTAACTCTGTGTTTTAAAAAGCACACGGCCGTCTGATTTCCTCGCTGAGAAAGTGCTGGAGAGCAGGCTGGAGCTGCCACCGTGATCTCTCCTCCTTCCTTCCTTCCTTTCTTCCCCGTCAGCGACTGTAAAGATCCAAGGACCTGGTGCAATCAGCGGGGGGGCCGTCTCAACACCGTCACCCACACACACTCACTGAAGGCTAGTGTGTGCAGGGACCCCGCGGGCCGGGGAGGCGAAGAGGCATGAGGTTGGAATGCACCCTGGAGGGCTTCGGTTGGACAGAGAGCACCTCTGTGCACAGAGAACCGGCTGCGCAAAGCCTCACGGGCCGGGCGCTCCGTGGTGCTGCCCACGGAGGAGCAGGGCAGACTGCAGAACAAGGGGCCCTCAGATGCCAGCTGGATGCTCCCAGGGGGTCACTGGATGAGAACACGGACAACCAGGCGGGCAGGGTGGCCTGCCTGGGTCACAGTGAGGTCCTGGGACGCTTATCTCCGTTGGGGACACCGTGACCAGGTGCCAACGCTGCCAAGGTGGATTCGACCAGGTCCCTTGAAGAGCTCTAGGCCTTTTTGTTTTGTTTTGTTTTGTTTTGAAATATATATTTTTACTGATTGCAGAGAGGTAGGGAGAGGGAGAGAGAGAAACATCCATGATGAGGGAGAACCATGATTCGGCTGCCTCCTGCACGCCCCACCCTGGGGATTGAGCCACAACCCGGGCCTGTGCCCCGTCCGGGAACGGAACCGTGACCTCCTGGTTCACAGGTCGACGCTCAACCGCTGAGCCACGCGGGCCGGGCAAGAGCTCTAGGCCTTTTGGGAAGGGAGACACCAAGCCCTCTTGATCTAGGGAAGAGGTGAGACCTCCCTCAGCCAAGCGTCATGGATGAGAGTAGCCCAAGGAAGCAAGGCAGCACTGTTTCAGGCGGAGGAACCGCGCTGAGCAAAGGCCTTGCACGCCATGGCACAGGCAGCTGTGGAGTGCGCGGCAGGGGATGGCAGGGGATGAGGCTGAAGAGGGAGCGGGGAGCAGCTGGGTAGGGCCCGGCCCATATCCCCATATCCGGCTGCAATATGCGCACGTGATGCGATCAGCATCTGCCCTGAACCCGGCGGCTCCTGCGGCGGAGCCTGGGGTGACTTTCTGCCCCTCTGTGCCCTGCAGCTGGGGAAGAGGGTAGACAGCATCACCATGATTTACGACTGCGAGGGCCTTGGCCTCAGGCATCTCTGGAAGCCCGCTGTGGAGACCTACATAGAGGTGAAGGGCAGGGGGCAGGCCTGGGGAGGCGGGCGGAGGGGGAGGTGGGGCAGAGAGTAGGGCAGGGGGCCCCTCTGCCGGGATGCCCTGTGGGTGGGCGAGGCGATGGGGGCACAGGCCGGCCTGGAGGAGGTCTGCGCCCACCGACTCGGTGCTCTGTTCCCGCAGTTTCTGTGCATGGTGGAGGACAACTATCCCGAAAAACTGAAGCGTCTCTTTGTCATTAAAGGTAAGTGGGGACCTCCGTGAGGAAGTCACGGACAGGTTTGGGAGAGGGACACGTCGGGAGCCGGAGCAGGGAAGCTGAGGGCCCTCAACGTGCGCGGACGGCTTTAGGGTCCACACAGCGTTTAGGATGCACCAGTGCCTCCCGCCCGCTGTGCAGAGGGCGAAGCTGGAAATGAAAGAGGTGCCCGTGCTGAGCCTCACCCCCTGGGCTGCCACGTGGGCCCCAGGGCGCTCGGGCAGGTGCGGCTGACATAGGGCACCCAGGGCGATGCCCTTGGGGACAGAGTGGGCGCTGCGTCCAGCCTCACGCTGTCGGCCTCTGTTCCAGCCCCCAAGCTGTTTCCCGTGGCCTACAATCTGGTCAAGCCTTTCCTGAGCGAGGAAACGCGCAAGAAGATCATGGTCCTGGGTTGTGAGTAGCCGGGGCCCTTCTCAGCTGCGCAGGGGGGCTATGGCCCCGCCTGGGATGGCTTTAGAGGGAGGGCCACAGCCACAGGCACAGGGCGGGCTGGGGCTGGGTTGGGGTCTTCGTATCTGTTTTCTTTCTTTTAAGTGTATTTTATTTAGTTATTGTTAATCCTCACCCGAGGACATTTTCCCGTTGACTTTTAGAGAAAGGGGAAAAGAAGGGGAGAGAAAGAGAGAGAGAAACATCGATGGGCTGCCTCCAGAACAGGCCCCAACCAAAGCTGAGGGACATGCCCTTGACGGGCATCGAACCCGGGACCCTTGAGTCCGTGGGCAGACACTATCCACTGGGCCAAACCGGCGAGGGCTTCGTATCTGTTTCCCTAAGAGCCCCTGCTCTCAGACAATCTGGAAGGAAGTACTGAGCCCAGCATCGTAGATTCAAAGATGAATGAAACGCCAGGCACTGCCATCAGGGAGCTTACAGAGCCGCAGGAGAGAGAGGACCTTTAGGGAGGAAGCGATGCTACAGACTAGAAAAGGCGCTAGCGATGGCCCAGAGAGGGTGCCACGCGGGTCACCGGAGCGGAGGGTGCCCTCAGCTGGGGGGCAACTCGCTGAGAGCACTTACCAGGTGCCAGGCCCTGGACGAGGTGCCAAGGCTACGAAGGCGAATTGGACCCAGTCCCTTGCAGCCTCTGGGCCTCTTGGGGAAGGGAGACACCAGGCCCACTCGATCTAGGGAGGAGGTGAGGCCTCCCTCGGCCGAGCGAGCGCCTTGGGGAAGAGCAGCCGGATGAAGCAAGGCAGCGCGCTTCCCGGCAGAGGGAACAGCATTGAGCAAAGGCCTCGCGCCCCATGGCACAGGCAGCCGTAGAGTGCAGGGCAAGGGATGAGGCTGAAGAGGGGGCCGGGAGCCGGGAGCAGGTCACGGAGGACCCGGGGCCGAGGGGCTGGGCCGTGACTCTGCAGGCCCTGGGAGCCAGCGGGGAGTTCTGAGCAGGGGAGCACCAGGGTCAGATCCTACATGGAGACACAGACCACTGGGGAGATGGTGAAGGGCAGATAAAAGTGGCCTTTGTGGCCACCACCCAGGCAGCAGGTGTTGCAAGCCGGGGCAGGGGCAGCGGAGGCAGCGAGGAGAGGAGGACGGCCAAGGACTTCTTTGGGAAGTAAAGCAGCAGAACTCGAACGCTGGGATATAGGAAAGGAGGAAGAGGAACCGAGAATGAGGTCCTCGTGTCTGGCATGAGTTGTCTGCGCAGGGCAGTCGCTCTGACGCAACAACGAGGTCAATGGAGGAAGACAAGGGGAAGAATGAGCTTGAGGCTGAGTTTCAAGGGTGTGTGAGAGCCCGGCCGGTGGGGCTCAGTGGGTGAGCGTTAACCTAGGAACCAGGAGGTCACGGTTCGCATCCTGGTCAAGGGCACATGCCTGGGTTGTGGGCTCGATCCCCAGTGTGGGGTGTGCAGGAGGCAGGCGATCCATGATTCCCTCTCATCATGGATGTTTCTCTCTCTCTCTCTCTCTCTCTCTCTTCCCCTTCCTCTCTGAGATCAATAAAAAAAAGAGTGTGAGATATACAGATATTGGGGATACTTGAGCCTGAAGCTGAGGGAAGGACTCCAGCCTGGGCATGTGGGAGCCATCAGATGCCAGCGAGGGCCCAGCCAGGAGCCCGTTTGCCGGAGCAGGAAGTGGCGTGTGTGGTGGGAGAAGGGGCTAGAAGGGTAGCTCGGGACTAGGGAGATCGTGGGTGACTCCAGGCCACTCTGGGCTTGAGCGTGGGCGTGCGGAACGGGGATGCAGGAGGTTTCTCAACGTTCACCTTCAGGCCACACATGGCAAGTGGAGAATTTCCAAGTGTGTGCCGGCGAGTCCTGGGAGCGGAGGGAGGCAGCCTGGAAAGCCCGGGGCTTCTCGGTTCTGGTCTCGGTTCTGCCTCTCGTCACCTCAGTGACTCTGCCCTGTAAGATGGGGAGAATTCCCCCCGCCCCATCCCAGCTCTGCCGCTGCGCTGCGGGGAGACATACAAAATCCCGCAAAGGATCGGGTGGTGTTGGCTTCTCGGCTGCTGCCACCCTCCGTGAGCATGAGAGACAGGCTTCCGGGCAGCGAGGCCGTGGAGGAGGTGCAGCCTGTTCTCCCACCCACACCTAAAACCCTCTCAACCTAGCCCGCCTCGGGCCAAGGCCCAGCCTCTTCACCAGGGGAGGGAGGAAAGGCGCTGGGGAGGGAGGAAAGGCGCTGGGGAGGGAGGAAAGGCGCTCGGCCGGCTGCTGGAGCTTAGCAGCACAGGTTACATCGCCCCGAGACCACAGGGGTTGCCTGGACTCGGCCCCTGCCGTCCAGGGCTGGGAGGCCCCGGACGGCCTCTGTGGGTTTCCAGCCGGGGTCGGCGGCAGAGTCCACCGGGTTGCATCCCGTGACTTGGAGCTGCTGCCTTTGTGTGGCTTCTAGCGTCAGCGTGGAAAGGTTTCCACTATCAAAATATTGTTCTTGGCTGGTATTCGTGGCGGACTTTGGGATGGCGGACACGTGGTTCGCGGCATCGGTTGCACTAGAGTCAAACTCTCCTAGTCAGGAAAGGGCTTGGTTACCAAAAAGAGAGAGAGAGAGAGAGAGAGAGCCAAATCTTGGCCGCTGAATGGTCTAAAAAAAAAACCCCAAAAACAGAAAACAGGAGCAGATGTGAAATCCTGGCTGGGGTTGAGCCAAGAGAACCCATGTGAAGGGGTCGCCCTACAGCGATGCGTGCATTCATTCGGTCACAATTGAGCGCACTATGTGTAGCGGAAGCTGGAGGGGGGGCGGGGGGGGGGGACGGGTGTTGCAAGGTTGTGCCGCACATGCTGTTCCCTCTGCAGGGCGTGCCCTTCCCTCCCTGCTTTGTTCTCTCCTGGTCGCCCTGCAGATGTGTGCATCACCTCCCTGGGAGGGTGAGCCACTCTCCCACGTGCAGGGCGCTTTACGTGCTCTCTCAGGTGCTTCGGTCACTTCACTCCCACCAGAACCTGCCAGAGGCAATGGGGACCCAGGTCCCCTGACCGCAGGGCAGGGCGGGGCGGGGCAGGGCAATCCTCGGGGCGAAGGCTGCCCCCAAACAGGGGAATGTGCTGTGGGGCGTCGGTGCTCCGAATGCCTGTGTTTGGGGGGAGAGGGGGAGGCCGGATGGTTGTTTTCCTGCCTCTTCTGTGTAGACAGTGGTGACCCCTCTTTCTCCTTCCTTACCTCCCCTGCCAGCAAACTGGAAGGAAGTGCTGCTGAAATACATCAGCGCCGACCAGGTGCCTGTGGAGTATGGGGGCACCATGACCGATCCCGACGGAAACCCCAAGTGCAAATCCAAGGTACGGGCCCCGGGGGCTGGAGGTGACCCGGAGGCCGGACCCCGGCTCACCGCACGCTCCGTCTCTAGCTCAACTGGGGGGGCGACATCCCCAAGACCTACTACGTGCGCGACCAGCTGAAGCAGCAGTACGAGCACCATGTGCAGATCTCCCGCGCCTCCTCCCACCAAGTGGAGTACGAGATCCTCTTCCCCGGCTGCGTCCTCAGGTAGGGAGGTTCCGGATCCTTCCAGGAGGCCCGAGCCCTGCAGCCCCAGGCGCTGGCGGGACCCCCGGGATCCCCCAAGCGCGCCTCTGAAAGGGCGGCTGTCCCGCGAAGGTGGCAGTTCTCGTCGGAAGGCTCGGACATCGGTTTTGGAATTTTCCTGAAGACCAAGATGGGGGAGCGGCAGAAGGCGGGGGAGATGACGGAGGTGCTGCCCAACCAGAGGTACAATGCGCACCTGGTGCCCGAGGACGGGAGCCTCACCTGCAGCACCCCTGGCATCTGTAAGTGTCCCTGTCTTGGCTTGAAGCCCCTGCCCTTGACGCCTGCCGGGGAGGCCCCTCTCCCCCCAGAAACGTCGGCTCTCAGGCTGTTAGAACCGCAAGCGGTGGCCTGACTTGCTCAATAGCGTGGGTCAATAGCTGGTTATTATAATAGCAGGGTAGGACTCTCACCCGGTCCTAACGGTAGCAGCGAGTCACAGAGCTGGGTGATGACAGGGGACTGTATCCGCTCTGGTCCAGGTGTAACTGGGTTGTGACTGCAATCAGACACCTCTTGGGAATTCTTCCCCACGCGTCAGAGAGGCAGGACGGGCTGGCGGGGTGTAGGGGGGTCACTGGGTGAGCAGGGCCCGCGAAAGCCCAGCCTTGAGCCCTCGGGGCGTCACTCATCTCCAGGCGGCACAACACGTGAACAGGAAGTTTTAACTCAAGAGGAGTAAGAATGGCAGATGGGCATTTGAAAAGCTATTACTCCTGAGCTTGGCAGTATCAATCAAAACTCCCTTGGAGTCAGCAATTCTACGTCTAGAAATTTAAGCCTACAGAGCTATCTACCCAAAGATGTAGGGATGTGCTTAGCAACCTGGAGGCTGGCAACACATTACATGGCCTCAGTAGGGTCTTATTAACTTAATTATGGTCCATCCACACAGTGCAGAATATACCCGTTAATGAGACTAAGTTGACGTGTAAGATGTCTGGTACATGTTTTAAGAAAATAAAGCGTGAGCATAGCATTATACGTACAACACTCATGTCGTAATAAAAAGTGTGTACGTAGGAAGGAATTCTGGGGAATCTATGCTGACGCTCAGGTAGTATCTCTGGCCTGGTGGGAAGCTTAGAGAGAAGCGTTCATTTTTTACCACCACGGCAGGTCCTCGGATAACGTCATTTTGTCCAATGTTGTTTCATGAGAATGTTGGTAAGAAAAAAAAATTAATTCCCAGCGGGGACCACTGTCTGTGTGGCCTTTGCACGCTGTCCCCATGTCTACGTGAGTTTACCCACATTTCGAAGGTGGACACGTGAGGTGAGTGGTGTGTCTCAATTGTGCCAGGGGAATGAGTGTGTGTGAATGTGCCCTTCGTTGGAATGGAGTTAGCTCACGCCATGTGCCCTGGGCTGGGGAGAGGCTCTGGTCCCCAGTGACCCTGAACTGAAATGAGCTGGTTGGAAGATCATTATCTTACTTTATTTTTATTAATCTTTTTAAATATATATATATGTATATATATTTTATTAATTTCACAGAAGGGAGAGGGCGAGAGAAATAGAAACATCAATGATGAGAGAGAATCACTGATCGGCTGCCTCCTGCACGCCCCCTACTGGGGATCGAGACTGCAACCCGGGCATGTGCCCTGACTGGGAATCGCACCGTGACCTCCTGGTTCATAGGTTGATGCTCAACCCCTGAGCCACGCTGGTCGGGCTATTCATCTTTCTTGAATGTGTGTACATCTCATATTTATTTCAATGTTTGTGTAATATTAGAAGTGGCTGGGGTATTTATTTTGGAACGTCGGTGTGTGTTTTTGTGACCAGAAACATGCCGGAGAATCTATAACAATGCGTCTATGGTAGAACTGGTTTCCTTATACGTTGTGTCAGAGCTCAGGGGTTAGGCGTGGAAAATCAGTGAGTTAAAGCTGACAGCTAACTAGTCCTCAAGCAAGTGACTCAACCTTCCCGAGCTTCAGTTTCCTGATGGCCAGGGCGGGGATGCAGTTCTCTGCCTCAGAGGGGCCCATGGTGGTTACGTGTGATGAGGTCGTGGTAGCGCTTAGCGTGATGCCTGGCACACACCAAGCCCTCAACATGCTTCAGCCACCGTGGTTGTTATCTGGGCAAGACCTGGGGGAGAAGGGCCGTCCTGGAGACGGTGCCGCAGGTGGGAGGAGCCCTGGGCTCCATCTCCATAGCAGCGCCACCAGGATCTCCGCCTGCAGCTATCCTGGCCTCTGTGCTTGGCTACACCAGCACCCCAACCTCAGATTCTGTATCCTCGCCCACATCCCAGGCAACTTCCAGTCTCTGCCGCCACCTCCTCACAGCTGCTCTGTGATACGGCTCCCCGGGGAGGAGTATTCTTGTTAGTGAGCAGCTGGGTCCCGGGGGAGAAGGCATGGACTGTACGTGCGCTTCAGCAAGAACACGCTTAGCACCAGCCCGGATACGGCCATCCAGAGCATACGTCATTGTGTACATACACGCTTGACTTTCTTTTAAAAAACAAACAAACACACGTTTTTATTGATTTTATTTTTAAAATATTTTTATTGATTTCAGAGAGGAAGGGAGAGGGGGGGAGAGATAGAAACATCAATGATAAGAGAGAATCACTGATCGGCTGCCTCCTGCATGCCCCACACTGGGGATCGAGCCTGCAACCCGGGCATGTGCCCTGACTGGGAATCGAACCGTGACCTCCTGGTTCATAGGCCAATGCTCAACCACTGAGCCACATCGGCTGGGCTGTTTTTATTGATTTTAGAGAGAGAGGAAGGGAGAGGGAGAGGGAGAGAAACATTGATGAGAGAGACAAACATCAATGAGCTGCCTCCTGGTTCATAGGTCGACGCTCAACCCCTGAGCCACGCACGCCAGGTGGGCTCTCTGAATGCTTTTGAGCAAGTGCCCCTAAATAGTTAAGTTTTCCTCTTCTCCTTAAAACTCGGGAGTGAGCCAGAGCAAGAAATCTTAATCTGGGGTTCAGGGACTCCCCAGAGCAGTCATATACACTGAGTGGCCAGATTATTATGACCACCCCATCAGTACAATGAAGTGAATTAGTTATGCAAATCCTATCTAATAATAGACAAAGATGCAAATTGACCGTACTTTCACTACACCCACCATTGGCTAATCAGAGTGATATACAAATTAACCGCCAACAAAGATGGCGGCTAATTTGCATATACCGGCTGGGATCGAAGACTGAAGACACCATAGAAGGAAGCCAAGCAACAGAGCCGAGGTAGCGGAGGCAGGCGGGAGAGAAGCGGCAGAGAAGGGCGGGGTAGGAGTGGCAGAGAAGGGCGGGGTAGGAGTGGCAGAGAAGGGCAGGGTAGGAGTGGCAGAGACGGGAGCGAAGCCCTATTCTTGCAGGAATCTTCCTGCAATGGGCCTCTAGTAATAATAATAAAACCTTGAGAGTATTTGCTTAAGAAGTTTCCAATATGCAGTATTTTTGGAAGTGTCAATGAAGTACTGATGGGGTGGTCATAATAATCTGGCCACTCAGTGTAAATCTTAAAGAACAAACACCTCCCCCTTTATAATAATAGTGTCTTATTGTCCCCTTGACTATCCCAAAATATAACAACTCACACAGATAATTTTTAAAAATCAATATCAGCTCCTTATTTGGAGAAATTAAAAGAAGCTACTTTAGAATACAGGGTGTCCCCCAAAATGTATACACACCCTTGGAATAATTATTAATTCCAATGGGTTCAATCTGTAAAGAAAGAAACAGCCATTGAACTGTCGGTGGTTAAGTGTGTATACATTTTTGGGGGAGATGCCCTATATCTATTTCTCAGTACAGACATGAGAGGGCATGCTTATAGCCAGTCTCTTCAGATTGGCACCTTTCCCAGTGGGGACCTCTGCCCCGGAGGGTCCATGATGGGCCCCAGAGGATCTGAGATGGTGTGCAAATTTCATCTCCGGATGAAAGCATCAGATTCTCAATGGGGTCAGTTCCCCAGCAAAAGTTGAGGAGCCCTCGCTCACCTGGAGGATTCTGGGGGCTCTCCGAGTCTGTGATACAAGATTGGTGTCCACATGAGCTATGCAATTCAGGAACTCCACTTCCCTCGGCCTGGGCCGCAGAACAGCCCCTCCCTGCTTCTGAGGGCAGAGTATCACGCGAGGCAGAGCCATCTCGATGGTGCTTGGTCCGAAATCGCGAAGACTCCTCTAGTACCATGGACCCTGGTTGCTAAGGCTTTGTCATTCAGGGCCGAGAGCAAGTGCCCCTTTCCAGAAGGATCAGGGGTCCTGAGAGGCCTCTGGCAAAGAGAGAATCAGTGATTAATCTTCACCCAGACCATGAAGATGGAGGGTGATGTATCTACCGTAGTCCTAAACTACGCACCTGATCTAGGGGCAGGGAAGGGGCCAGGGGAAGTATCGGGAGTAAATGCACAGTTTGTTCGTTTGTGCTGGGCAAAGTGAGAGAAGACCAGGATGGAGAAGGAGCAGAGCGAGTTGTTTTGTTCTCATACTCTGTTCTCTCGAAGGGCTTATTGGACCGAAATGGAACAGACTCTCCAAAAAAGGGGGTTGGATTAAACTCGGTCGGCCCCGTTTCCTCTCCGCAGAGGGAACCACTCCTAACAGGTCTTATCTATTCACTTATCAGAGTCCTGTCCCTTTACAAGCATCACGTGTTGCCCTAATACACAGGATGTGCGCACACACGTACCCATTCACGTCTGTCATTCGGTGTATGTTGGCAGGAACTTTGAAATTGTAACACTTGTCACAGGGTTTGAGAAACGTTCCTTGCAGACAAGATCAGGCGTGTTCAGGGTGGTATGGCCCCACGTGGAAGCCTCCCTTTCGGAACAGGCACCCGAGTAGTGTCACCCAAGAGAACTGGGAGTGCAGGTAGACAGAGCAGCAAAGCCCACAGTTATTGTCATATCTCTATGAACCCAAACGTTACAAACTATTCATCATGTTCTGCAACTTTTTTTTTGGCCAAAGGATAACTGTGGCCATTTCCCCCAGGCACTTCTTAGGAGGCTAACTCCTTTCTTTTACCATCAGAACAGTATTTCATCATATGGATTGCAGTATAAACTTTGTAAGCAATTCTCCTTAGAACACTGGCGTTTTCCCAAGCGTTCAGTCCCCCAAACAGGGGTGCAATGAACGTCTTTGCCCGTGTATCTTCCTGTGGGATACAGTCCTGCTTCGAAAAGTCTGCAGTTTACCTTTTGTCAGAAACGGGACAGGGCAGGGCTTTCCAGGGCCCGAGTCAGGCAGCAGTTCGGACCAGAGGGAAATTCTAGTTCTATCACTTCCTCTCCGTGTGACCCAGTGACTTCCTTTTTTATAGGACGTAAAACAGGACTCATGCTGAACTCATAGTTATTTTGAGAAACAGTGAAATAACACGCATAGATTACCAACCCAGTGCTGACTCACAGAATGAGCAATCGTTACCATTACTCTTATTGTTGTAACGACGACCGATCACTGCTATGAATTCTACGCCTCACTTTTATGGATTTCAGAGAGGAAGGGAGAGGGAGACAGAGATAGAAACATCAATAACGAGAGAAAATCATCGATAGGCTGCCTCCTGCACAACCCCCACTGGGGATGGAGCCCGCAACCCCGGCATGTGCCCTGTCCGGGAATCGAACCGAGACCTCCAGGTTCCTAGGTCGATGCTCAAACCACTGGGCCGTGCCAACGGGGCTCTATTCCTCACATTCAAGGCCCAGTTCAAGCTCTAACTCCTCTAAGAGGCCTTTCACATAATTTCACCCTACAGGGCACTCTCTTTCCAAGCTTTACAGGAGTGGCTCTCTCTCACTCATCTGGCACTTGGCATGTTCTAGGGAACCTTTTGTCCATCCAGCTAAACTCATTTGCAGAAGGTGAAGGACCCCTGCTTATGCTACCATCATCCTCAGTACCTACCACCTGGCCTTGCTCAGTCAACAAACACCGCTGTCCCCAAGCCCTTCGGCGGAACCGCCTGAACGCCCTGTTTTCTGCCTCCCCGCAGATGTCCTGCGGTTTGACAACACCTACAGCTTCATTCATGCCAAGAAGGTCAGCTTCACGGTGGAGGTCCTGCTTCCAGACAAAGCTTCAGAAGAGAAGATCGAACAGCTGGGGGCGGTCACCCCAATGTAATGCCTCCTCCCACCGCAGGCCTGGCTCCCTCAGTGTCTCCCCGTCAGTTTCTGTCCCCTGTCGCAGTCATTTTTCCAGCACCCTGATGCCCAAAGGAACTGGGGCTAGAAGGAAGACCTCAGCTTGAATCTGGGGAGTTTTCATTTCAGAATTAGGAAGAGGGAGCAGAGCAGGAGGGGGTCTCCCGGTCTTTCAAGCTACGGAGGAGTCCCCAGGGGCTGGGCACTGTGAAGGGGTCTGTATGTCCTGAAAACTGTGCCTACAGCACCCACCTGTGACAGCTGAGACAGGAAGGGGGTCCCATGGGGTGGCAGCAGGGAAGAAACTGGAAAAAAAAGGGGAGAGACTGAAACGTAACATTTCAGCGAAGCCAGCAGCAGGGGAGAGGAACTTGCAACCAAATGAATACGTAAGCCCTAGATTATAATGAGCAGCAGAAGGAGTTGCTAGAGTTCGCCGGGGGTCAGAGGCGCTTCTAAACCCTCTATCACTGAGGCTGGGGTCCTGTGGCTTCCCCCCCATCTCAGGAGGTGGCATAGAGCTTCCCACTCAGGGGTACACAGGCAGGTCTTGCCCTCACCTTGAGAACTTCAGCAACTCCGGGGTCCCTACGGCTGCCTATTTAATTACTGATGATTGTCATTGATTCAGAGCTTCCTGGGACAGTGAGCTTCGGTACCCGGCCACTGTCCTCCGATGCAAACAAAGCACAGGGAAATTACCTCCAGGGATCCCAGCTCTGGGGAGGGAAGGGAGGCTCCGGGTGCGTGTGAGCCTGAGGTTTCCAGCCTCCCATGTGAGCACCCCACACAAAAATGACAGGTGGGATCCAGATGGTAGAACTCAATGAGGGCATTTGCCAGTCTGAGCCGTCCACGGTGCCCGCAGACCCGCTCCCTGTCCGCCCGAGCAAAGCCTGGGCAGTTCCCATCTCTGGGAGAGGCGTACGGTGGGCGCCATGGGTTCCTAGTGCCTGGCGGGGAGGCTGCCCGGGCAGGGGGCCAAAGGCAGGGCCAGCATCTGGGAGAGCCCGGGGCTGGGGGCCGCCACAAACAGCCTCGCAGGCCCCCGGCCCCTCCACCCACGGTGACAAGCAGGGATGGCCCTGGGCCCGCTCAGCGACCAGGAGCTGGAGGGCAAGGACCCTTCGAGCCACCATCGCGCTTATCCCAATCCCACGTCCTGCAAACGCACACCAGGTCCTGGGCTGCACAGAGGCAAGAACACGAGAAGGCAGCCCAGCCTGGCGAGCTGGCCTGGCGGAGCGGACGGGTGCAGGAGGAGGGGGGGCCCCCTGAGCCCGCATGGGTCCCAGCCAGAACACTCAGGAGGACATCCCGACCTTGGTTTACAACGCTCTGTTAGGAAAATTAACCAATGAATAAAGCAACGTTCAATGCACAGAAAGTGGAAGTCCATGCCGACCGCCTCGTTCTTCGCTGCTCACGCGTCACCCAGAGAACCCGGAGCTTAGCGACCTCTATCCGCCAATAGTAGGCGGGGCGCATGCGCAGAAACCACTCCCGGCTCTTCTCTGGCGCGCGCTTTCTGGCGCCCCGCGGCCAACTCGCCTCCTGATTGGCCTACCCGGTGGGCTGTCTTCAGCCATCTTTGCTAAGGGCACTAAGGGTGCTCTGGTCGCCTTCACGGTCAGGGCGGAAGCCCCGCCCCGCTTGGGTTTCTAAGGGTGCGCAGGACGCCAGGCGGTTCTTGCGCGCAGACACACGTGGGTCTGGCAAGCGCGCGGTGCCCGCGGTGGGCCCGGGTAGGGAGGGAGGCGGGGAAGGGACGATCACGTGGTGTTAGGGACCGTCTCCTAATTCTGCGCCGGCGCTGCCCGTGAGTCAGGGGCTGGGTATCTCTTTGAGCCCTGAGCCCGGCTTCTCGAGAGGTCACCGCTGACCAGGCTGTCGAACCCGACCCTAGGGAGACAGCGACGCCCAGGGCTGAAAAGAGGACCCTCAGGAGGGAGTCAGACGTCTTCATGTTTTCCAACGCCATTTAATGATAATAAAAGCTAATTCTTTAATGAACGTCTACTGGGTACCACACACCTCTGTACTTACAAAGAAATAATATGTGCAAAGCGCTTGGAAGAGAGCCTGGTACACGTGAGCACGCAGTAAATATTAGATGGTCTCTCTCTCTCTTTTTTTTTTTTTTTTTACAGCGGTGCCCAGCAGGTAATAGGTGGCACAACTGGGACTGGAACCCAGGACTGCCTGTCTTTAATGGCTGTGTCTTTGCTTGCCTTACCCCTCAAAAGATTCACGAAGCTGCACTCATGGCTCACATGGGTAAACTGAGGTTCAGCGGGGGAAGAGCTCCCTCCTTAGTCATCACTCCCCCCCTCATTCTGTTCTGCTCATTTCCCTGAAGTCTTACATCACAATCCTGTTTCCCTGGCCTCATGATGCATTCATTCATTCATTCATTCATTCATTCAAGGTCTTGTCCCCAAGAGGTTCTGCCCAGTTTTCATACTGATCCAGTTTAGATGTCAGTGCTGACCGATGACCATGGCACGTGTCGGGAAGGGACTTTAGAGCCCAAGTATCCATCTCACCAGGTGCTCACCACTCACTCTCCCAGCCTCGCTGACTGAGATCTAAGAGCACGGGATCTGGGGCCAATGCCGGCGTCACAGCGTAGCAGCTGTATGACCTGGGAACGTGCCCCATCTTTTCTGAGCCTCTATTTCCTCGTCTGAAAAATGGGGGTCACAGGTTGATGGGAGGGTTTAAGGAAGTCATCTGTCTATAGAGTCTTTTCCTAGTGAAGTCTTCAGCTGTTCGTCTTTGGCCAACGGTCTGGCCGGTAATAAACACAGTCAAAGATGACTTGTCCTTCACCCTCGTCCCAGGAGTGAACGCCGGGGTGCACCCCGTTTAAGAAACTGAGGCTCAAAGAAGCACAGAAGCGTGAGGTCACACGGCTCTGACGTGCAGCTGGGAAGGACAGGATCTTCCATTCGAACCACAGCCAGTCCTGGGAGAGGATCGTGCCAACCCTCGAAAGCCCTAGAAAACGTGAAGAAAATCTGTAAGATCCAAGCCGGGGAGAGGGGCTTTGGTGCGCGGGGGAATTTACAGACGCTCCCTGCTTTTGGTGACAGCGCACGACCTGCCTGTCCTTCAGTCCGGGACCTTCAGTCCGTCCGGCCACCTTGGACCGGAGGAGGGCTTGGGGACGCTGAAGCGGCAGTGGCGCCTGGACCGGCTGCAGTGGCCGGGGCCTCCGCGGAAGGGCCATGTCCGAGTCGTCCCCGCAGGGTGCTGAGCGCGACCTTTTCCGGGACACGTGGGTGCGATACCTGGGTGAGAGCGGGGGCAAGGGGCACGAGGGGCACGGCGACTCCCCCACCCTGTAGCTGGGGAGGCAGGGGTCACGGTTTGCCAGTTCTGGGTCCTGGAGAAGGTGGGAGGATTCCTCTTAGTTATTCTGCCCAGACCAGAGATTGGGCTCAGAGAGGGTTAGGGGCTTGCCCAAGGTCACACAGCTCTGGTTGGCCCAGCCCTGCCTTTGTGTGTGTGGTTGGGGGGGCGGGGGGTCGGGGAGGGGAGAGGGGCGGGTCTCTGCTGGTCCAGTCTCCCAGATTGAAGCTCGGACCCTACTGGGAGAAATGGGAATGGGGTGCGCAGGTTGCCTTCTCTGCTATGCCGCGGCTCTGATTGGAGCCCGAGTACCTGGAGCTCAGTCTGTGGCTGCCTGTTCCCCCATTAGCGCAGAAGCTTCCAGAATCCAGACTGGGAAGGCAGGCGAGTGACTGATCACGGTGACTGCACTCGGCTCTCCCACCGTGGCCCTAGCGTTGAGGTAGGCATCGTGGGTGGCCGTTTTACAGGTTCAGAGAGATCCAATCCCTGGTCTAAGGTCATCCAGCTTCTGTGTTGCAGGCTGGGGCTAGAACCAGCAGGCTGGAGCGCCCCCTGGTGGAACAGTCGCTGCTCCCCGGAATTAAATGTCCCCTTCTGTCCAGGCTACGCCAATGAGGTGGGGGAGGCCTTCCGCTCCATGGTGCCGGCGGCGGTGGTGTGGCTGAGCTATGGGGTGTCCAGCTCCTACGTGCTGGCTGACGCCATTGACAAGGGCAAGAAGGCAGGAGAGGTGAGTGCGAGCCTGCCCCTCGACACGCCCCCCCCCCAGGCCATTCCTCGGGTGGATTAGTCCACAGCCTTGCATGTGATACCATCACTGTGGTGAAGCATGTGGACAGTACCTACCCCCGTCCTGTTTGTAGGATAGTGCACCCCCCCCAGCCTTGCGTGTGACATTTGTTGATACCCCAGTCCTGCATGTGGACAAGTCTACCCCCAGCACTAAATGTGGTAGAGTCCAGAGCCGAATACAGTGGGGCCTTGACTTACGAGTTTAATGCGTTCTGTGACGGAGCTCGTAACTCAAATTACTCGTATGTCAAATCAACGTGAACAAGTGAGACACGTGATGCTGGGCTGATGTTGTGGCGTGCACTGTGACGTTCGCTGCGCCAACTAGCGGTGGGGTATCTGAAGCTGGCTCGTAACCCGAATTTTAGCTCGCAACTCAAAGCAAAAAAATCGGCCGAGAGACGGCTTGTATCTCGAAAAACTCGTTAGTCGGGACACTCGTAAGTCAAGGCCCCACTGTACTAGCAAGGTTTGTCCCAGCTCCCTCTCCCCTCCCCCCGCCCCGCCCCCCACTCCTCCTCCGCCTACTTCTCTCTCCCTGGTTCAGCCTCGTGCCACAGGGTTTCCTGACTCTGCCGCTGCTGAATTCAGTTTCTCTTGTGCCCACCAGGTGCCAGGCCCTGAAGCAACCCGCCGCACCAGGGTGACTGTGGCCGTGGTGGACACCTTCGTGTGGCAGGCTCTGGCCTCCGTGGCCATCCCAGGCTTCACCATCAACCGTGTGTGTGCGGCCTCTCTCTATGTCCTGGGCACTGCCACCCGCTGGCCTCTGGCTGCCCGCAAGTGGACCACCACGGCCCTGGGACTGCTGGTCATCCCCATCATCATCCACCCCATCGACAGGTGGGCGCGGCTCCCAGCCTCAGGGTCCTTCTCTCTGCAGATGGAGAGAAGCCCTGGGAGGCAGGGGGTGCACCCACTTTGCACAGAACAACCGCAGCAAAGGCAGGGCTGGCACTCGGGGCTCCAGAGGTAGAAAGGACAGTCTTTGCCCTTGGCATATGATCTGGCAGATATTTTGGCAGTAAAGGCAGAGGCCGGGGGTGCCTGGAGGCTATAGGACACAGGACTAGTAAATTCCCAGAAAAAAAAAAAAGTGGTGTTACAAAACAACCAGAGGCAGGCGGGAGCAGGTGCACCTGGAGGGTGTTAGTGACAGAAGTAGGAATTGTTTTGTGAAACTGAAAAGTCATTAAGCTGCTGCTTTCAGGCATGGCTGGATCTAGGCACCCAAATGATGTCATTAGGGGGTCTGGGTCTCCCCATCTTGCTGCCCTTTCCTCCACCCCCCCCCATGTTGGCTTCACTCACACTTTTCCCTCATGGGAGCAGAGATGGCCCCCAGCAGCTCCCAGCTTCCATCCCACTAGCTTAGCAAGCCCCATGGGAATCTTCTTAATAGCGACAGCAAAAATCCCAAGGAAGGCTGTCATTGGTCCATTGTGAACTGGGTATCCACCCCTGAGCCATTGCCCTTCTCTGATTGGCCAGGCTTGGGTCATGTGCTTGCACTTAGAACCAGACTTGGGGCTAGACCAACATGGAGTGGGAGGAGTCTTTCTCCAATGGAACACAGCTGACCCTGAGGCCATGAGTGAGTCTTGTACCCTCTCTGTGCCTAACGGAATAAAGAAGAGGGTGATGGCTGCCACTTGGATGGCACTTGTGCCCTGCGTCCAGAGAGTCCCTTCCCCCTAGCCCTGACCTCCTGCCTCCCATTCCCCCATTGGTCACTTGTTCATCACCCTCCCTCGCCCCACAGGTCAGTGGACTTCCTCCTGGACTCCAGCCTGCGCAAGATCTACCCCTCAGTGGAGAAGCCCAGCTCCTCCTGACCACAGCCTGGCACCTGGCCCGGGGGTTGGCACACTCCCTGCTTTCCAACCTCCTCCTCCTGTCTGGGGATTCAGTGCTTGGCTCCTTGGGGTCGTAAGGCCCTGGCACCTGAGTGGGTGTGAATTGGATGAAAACAACGACAAAGGCCTCAAGGAGCAGCCGCCGCAGTGACTCAGAGGCAAGCCCCGAACCCCAGAATTCGTGATACCGAGTGGCAGTGCGACTGGGTGGGCCCAGCCTTGGCTTTTTGGCAGGAAAGCAACATCCTCCCATGGAGGAGAAGGGGACTGAGCCCAGGGAGGGCAAGGAATATGGCCACGATCACTTGGCAAGCTGGGGACCCAGGACTCCCAGAGGCTCAGCCAAGTCACCCCATGGCAGCGTGGCTGGACAGAGGAGCAGCAGGCACTGGGTGTGCCGCGGTGGGGACCCTGAGGCCTGAGTCTCTGGCCAGCCCATTCCCGGGGCACTAGGAGGCAAGACAGCCCTGGTCTAATAAATCCTCAAGAAGTTTCGTTTTCTTCTTTTCTGTTGGGGATGAGCAGGGATGTGGTGGTGGAGAGCAGGACTGGGGGCCCTCCGAGGGGAGGCTGACTGCTCGGGCCAGGTGGCACTCGCCGTGGCCAGCGCTGGGCCTTTCTGGTCCCTCCCCGCCCACCAGCGCCCCCTGCAGATGCCTGGGCGTCCACTTGGCGCTGCAGCCTCCTGCACCCACGCCTCTGGGAGGGGAGGCCTCAGAGCCTGTAGGGTCACAGATCAGACCCAGCCCGGGTCTGCTCTTCCCTCTCCAGAGGCAGCTGGGTAGGGAGAAGGGAAGGGCCTGGGAGGCAGCCCCTGCTTGTCCGGAGCCCTTGCTCCAGGTTGGGCGCCCACCTGTGGCTGCTGCCCCAGCACCTGATGTTCGGGCTCAGGCCCTTGTCTCTCTTCCCTGGCTGCTCCCTCTCCCTCCAGTCGCTTCTGTCCCCAGTGCTCTACCCCCACATCTCCTATCTCTCCCCTCCAGGCCAGCATGAGGGCAGCGGCTCTGGCGTGCCTCCCTCCAAGCTTCTCTATTTGCCAACTGCTTCTGAAACCGTCCAGAACCGAGCCCGGGCTCCTGCATCAGGATCTGCACAACCTCACCCCCAATTTTCACAACCTCACCCCCAATTTTCACTCCAGCTATTCTGTCCTTTCTGGTTCCTTGGATCTGGAGGTCCTTTCTCTTTTTTATTATTATTTTTTTTTTATAATAATTTTTATTTCTTAAAGTATTACAAATAGTATTACATATGTCTCCTTTTTTCCCCCCCTTGCTCTTTTTTAAAAAATATATTTTTATTGATTTCAGAGAGGAAGGGAGAGGGACCACCAGGGGGCAGCATCTCCCAAGGTGACCATGTCAGCTGGTTCAAAGTGCTCCCAGGGTTAGTGAACTGCTCCTAGAATGTGCCAGGCCCTGTGCTAAGTGTTCCTGTGATGTGTGTGGCTCACTTACTCCTGGCAAACACATCCATCCTGGTTAGGTCCCTGTTTCCTGGAGTCTGAGTCACTGGCCCAAACTCACACAGAGCATCCCATAGCCTTTGACCTTCCCACTGCCTCACCTCACCTTTCCCCCAGCCCAGTACTGATCCCCTGACTATTGCCTTCCAGCCCACAGCTCTCTGCATCGTCGGGGGCAGATCCGACTCGCAGGCTGAGCGTTGGTCTCCTCACGTACAACTCTACGTACTGATCTCCCGAAGCGGCCGTGAGGATTACGGGAGAAATGGCTCCCGAAGGCACTCAGCCAGGGCAGGGGCTCACGGGGCGAGCTCCACAAACATTGGCTGTCCTTTTTTCTTTCTTTTTTTTTAAATTTATTTTTATTGATTTCAGAGAGGAAGGGACTGGAAGAGAGAGAGAGAGAAACATCAGTGATGAGAGAGAATCATTGATTGGCTGCCTTCTGCACGCCCCACACTGGGGATCAAGCCCGCAACCCGGGCATGTGCCCTGCCCAGGAATCGAACTGTGACCTCCTGGTTCATAGGTCGACGCTCAGGACCTGCGCGCTCAAGCCAGCATGTCTGTGTCCCTGACTCACAGCACAGAGTTCAGGT